TCTAGCAAATTCATGTACTGCTCCCTCCAACTATTTTGTCAATTTGTACAAGCCTTATCATAATGAAGCGCAAATATTTCCAGAGCAAACGAAAAAAGGCATACAAAATTTAAAACTAAATAAATAGAAAACTAATGAAAAAATCATAGATTTTGCACGACCAGAAAACGCTCTGGATTTGTTCTTTAATTTAATAAAATAAAAACTGTTCACTTGGACATTGATTCTCAAATAAATCTTACTATTTTTGAATCGAATAAAAATGAAAAGAAGAAATCCTGGCTATCTTTGGCACCACAAAGATTAAATATCCTTCTTAAATTGAGGCTTACGAGCTTGCAGACATCTGAGGAGAAGGATTGCTGACTTTGAATATATCTTGAAAAAAACAGATTATTTTTATAAAAAAAAACACTTATTTGTTGAGCGATTCAGCCTATGATTAAAAAGTCAGTTGTTGGTAAGCTTTAATCTATGCATAAGGAAGTATTAATAAAAGCAGAGAAGCCACTTTTCCCTATAGCAGCTAGTTGATATAGTGGTCCGATAAAGCCGGTTACGATATATTTTCAGCCTGCAGAAGAAAGAGAAATATTTTCACAGTTTCAAAGCTGAAAGACTAGGTTGCATAAAAAAACAGGTGAGTATTGTTAAATCAGTGGTTTATACTGTTCAGAATATATAAACTTTTTGGCGTCGGGTTGGTTCGGGTCGGGTGTGCTAATATTTCATGGCAAACCATAAAACCCTCTACATGGATATAAAAATAAATTTATATTCTTGCATACTTATCATACAGGGAATCAAAGACTAACCATGAGAAACTTTACGAAAACGAGCGCTACTTCTACTCATAAAGGCTACAACGTGGCGCTGCTAACAACAGAGCGGAAACCAAGCTCCAGTGCAAAGGCTCATGCAGTTGCCATAGCTAAAGTCGTTTCAATTGTTTGACAATTTGTAAGCTTGTTGGCTCAAAGAAAGTAAAACGAACGTCAAGGGAGCTGAAGTTGGAGAAATATTTGTAAAATATGTACCCCTGTACATGTGAAGAATAATGTTTATTTCTTTTCACTTGTCCAGCTACAAATTAAATTACAGGAGTAAGTTCTTAGCTCATACAAACATTGGTTAAAATAATTTAATGTTGTTAACGTTACAAAAAGTGGCTTAGCTTTAACATTTTGTTTTCCTGCTGTTTAGTTTCCCACACTAGTTATGGTTATCTCGATACTTATTCAAATAATAACAAATCCGCCGCGAGTGGTCTTTGAAAATAAGTTGAAAGCATCGGCAATAGAAGCGTCGACCACCATTTTCTACCCAGAAAGATTGAATTTTCCGATAAGTGTCAATTTTGTTAATTTTCGCACAGATTTTTAAAATATAGGTTCAACTCTTTAGATCTCATTAGGTTTAACGAAAGGAAATGATTTTTCACAAATCCCCTCCTATTATTTCCGGTTTGGGAGCGCGTGGATCATTAATTAATTAAAATTGACTGATATGGGGAAGTACCCAAAAACCTAAATAATGCAGACATCTGATTCATTTAACTCAACGCCGAGTTTGAATATATTATTTTCTTATGACATTCTAAATATGCCAACTGATGAGCTTCGCCCACAGCCTCAATGAAAGTTGATTAGACGTACTGAAAATTGTGTTACGCATACGCAGCGTAGGCATGATTAGCCAGCCATACACAGACAAACACAGAGAGCAACACACCCACGCACACAAACGCACATTTGTAACAGTTAATTTACTTTCGGTGTTTTGGGTGACTTTGGTAAATCACACTTTTGACTCGAGTGAACTTTCGGATGCAGCCAAGCAACACAAAGACGCAGCCAAGTCACAAACGAAATGACGACAAGGATGATGATGACGACGCGGATGCCCAGGCAGAGCGCGCTATAAACGGTTGGGGAGGACTTTGAATGTGAATAGAAATGGGCACGAGCTGCCGAGGATGACGAGCTTGTCTAAAAGCAAAAACTTGACAAAGTGTTCATAGTAACACGCGCGCTCAAAAAAAAAAAAAAAGACATTGAAACTTGTCACTGCAAAGTTGTTAAGTCAGACGCCTGATGACTTTACGTCAGCCGCACTCGCATTGGCGCCTCCACTCACAGCTCCCAACTGTGTGGGCGTGCCATGCTCGCCGCCCACTCACCAAAGCGCTGGGGCGTGGTAGCAGAAAAAATATTATTATTATTATGCCTTGGCCATTATGTGGCAAGCAAATTAGTGACAGATTAGTTTGTGTGCTCGCGTAAAATCATTTGGGATGAAAGCCGCTTTCGCAATGAATTAAGGTATCGCTAATCGAGTAAAAGTCGCCCCAATGATCATAAGAATCTTAACAAATTAAGTCTAAGATCTGACACTAAAACTGTATCCAACTAATCAATTTATTTCTTGCAGCTATTTTCATGAAGATTAAAGGGAGGATAAGGATTAAATTTGATGTTTTCGATTTAAAGGATTCGATTTTATGGAGTACAAGCTGTTATTTAGTGCACATATATATCATTTGGTTTTACTTGAAACTCCTTTAAAAATTACAATAGGTCGTATCACGTTTTCTCCACCGAACATTTTCTCCCCCTAATAAAATCGTTGCTTTCAGGATACCTTCGGGAACTCGCTGACCATTCCCAGCTATTGGAATGCATAGGGGCATAGCTTGCCGGACAGGCTATAAATTTCCCCCACCAGGTCGGTGATTTCCCATCACTATCTCTCTAGCCTATCTACCTAACACTCTATATATGTATCTAGAATACATTTTTTTCTTTTTTCCTATTTATTCTATTTTCTTAAATAATGTAGTAAATTACCATTATTTTAAACTTTTACTTAAGAACACTATTTTCTCTTCCACCTTCTAACACCTTCCATCTTAGCTGTTGGCTCTAATAACATCACTGACAAAATAAGCTGTGAAAAGGGGCATGCTGGCCAGACGGGCAAATAATAATCTATCGTGTCGGTGATGCTATTAGAAAATTGTGTATAATTAGTCTTTTAGCATTTAATTTTCATAATTAATTTTCATATTAAATAATTGGGAAGACACTCGTTTTTGTAGACCATTAATACAAAAATAAATTAAATATTAGCTATTGTTCTCTTTCACGAAAAACATATCCTTTGTTTTCACTTTAGCGTTTAATTAGTTTTCGAGTAAAGGTGTTTGTACACATGTACATGAACAATTCTACACTTCAGATATTAGAGATAAATCTCGGTTAATAGATGTACAAAATCAACCTCTGAGAGTCCCACTCAACATATCTTCTACGTAAATATTCGTTAATCGAGATTCAACTCTATAACTAACATCCGACAGCAACCATGTGGATAAATCTACCAAAGGTATAATTTGGAAAGTTTAACCCATGGAATAATAAACTTTTTGTAATTAATAAATTGCATAAAACTTTTTGTTCTGAGCAAATGACTGACTGACTAAAATTGGTACTGTAGTTACCTTAGATATGATAGAGGTACACGCTAAGACAGGGTTGTGGAAAAGCGAAAAATGCTTGTAAGAAACTATTTTTTATAATATCCGATCGACCCCATCTCATTTATAAATATCTTTGTGATGTTTTAAAACAAACGCGGGTCAAAGGCTACATGGGCGAAGTTTCAAGATTCTCACTCATTTAAGCTCAAAACTTACTTTGCCCTTGGACGGGGAATAAAAATATGAATAGCAAAGTGGAAATTGATGATGACTGTTTGATGTATGTTAAAATGATATGTATTAAGTCAGCCTACACAGCACTGTTTCTTCAACTTCAAGTAAGATGGAAAACCACATTCGCTTACACGTATGGCAACAAATGCACAAATTAAGCTAGACCGCATGTTAAAATGCCTGCTATGCAATGAGTATAATGAACCTTAGAGTACTGACCTACCGACATGTAATCCATTTATCTAAACACATATGCAATTACGCATACGCCTTGTGTATCAGGCGAATTGGCAGTGATTGTATCGCATTCCTATTGGCCAGCTCCATGCCAATTAATGACAGCTCTTAGCGGCGCCAAAAACTATGCATCATTTTTATGTTTTTATGGAGGTTGCGCTACGAATTTAAGGGTGCAATAAACAAGCCGCCAATGGGCGAATAATGCGCTGTCATTTTCGAGACGACTTGTCACTGCTCAAACATAAAATGTTATCTACATTAATTGACAGACTGGCAGATGGAGATGGCGTTGCTGCCTGGCTTTGATTTGGTGCCTCACGCGAAAATGCCATTAAATTGATGGGTCGCCGCTCATTCCCGAGTGCCACGAAATTCACAGTTGACAAAAACAATTAAAAACGTTGTAAAAATGTTATGTGCAGGTCGCCGTGGGTTTGGCTATGCCATTGGCAGTGGCTCTGAAGCTGTTGAGGCCTCGATTTGAGCTACGGCTTGCACCCGCTCCCGCTGCTGCTGCTGCGGCTGCTGCTGCTGCTGCTGTTGCTGTGGTTGTTGTGCACGCTGTTGATAAAAGCAAACGGCACTTAAACGTGTCAACAATGGCCACGACAAGCACAGCCCATGAATTGACGAGCCAAACAAAGAATGAATGGGGCATGTAGGGGAGCGGATTGGGTATACCCGATGGGCCAGATTTACAGCAATCAGTTTTATGCTGTTCAAGTGGCAACGCGCTTTGTGATTGCCCTGACTTTTACCCCGCTACCCGTCTCTCTCTACCGTGTGCACCGCCCCGCCGCCCACTTCCTCCACCACACATACCACACAGTTTTGCAATTAATTTCTGGCCAAACCAGCGTACTGTTTTTTGTTGTTGCCATTGCCGTTGCTGTGGTTGCTATAAAAGTTAGATAAATTGTACGAGCATGGACAAAACTTTCGATCACGCAGCTACGCACGCTCTTTATAGTGGGAGGTGGTGCTTGCGGCAGGGAACTGTGTGTGCGTGGTGTATGTGTGTGTGTGTGGGTTGCGGGTGGTTGAGTTGGTGGGCAAGGTGAGTTGAGCCACCACCGCGACTCTTGTCAGATTTTGAAGTGGCAGCAAGGGCACGCAACTGAGCCGAGCCAAGTGGAGCAACTGCCGATTATTTATAGTTGAGAAAGTTTTGTCATTTACGTTTGAAAATTTAAATTTTAATTGAGTTTTCTTGCTGTTGCTCTCGCTGCTGCACCCGCTTGGCCCGCTGCTGCCGCTGTTCCATGTGTCCCGTTGTTAGAGATGGTCGGACTCTCGGGTTAAAATCAAAAAGTCAGGCAACAAAAGCGGTGTCCACTGGCCTCCTCATCCTGTACATGTTACCCACTGAGCCACAGAGTCGCGTTATCCCAGGTGTTTGCTTCAACTTCGCTTCATCTGAGTATGATAAAAGCAGATTTGTCGAAATTGTTTTGTAAACTTTCCCAATACCCTTTAATTTTTAGGCAGCAGAGCCCAGGCCTTCTGTATAAGCCAGATTTAGGTAACATTACTTTAAAAATTTCAAGCTTATATATAATTATATTTTAAGAATCTTGATAAGAATTTTTAAAAAAATCTGTTATCTTTTATCCTAGCCTCGGTCAGTCAAGAGTTTTTTTCAGACAATGATTTCCTGATTGCAAGTACCGAAAGGAAGGTTAAGCAAAGATTCAACGTGCTTGAGATCTCTGTGATCTCTGTCTTCTTCTTTTTGTAGGTAGGCCATCTTGGCTTAAATTTATAAAATCTTAATTTTGGTATTTAAGAACATAAAACAGATTTATATTCTAATTGAACTTTCTATCTGTTTACTCTTAAGAATATGCAAATATCAGTACTCAAGTAGATATTTATGTATATTGTGAATAAACGTGTTATATGCTACTTACTAATGCCGTCGGAAAACGTATTATCGATTACGAAGGCCGTCAATATATATTATTTTCTTTTTCCTATTGATTATTCACAAATAAGTACCTCTCTTGATGGGTATTTAATAGTCGATCAACTCTTCGGTGTGCTCAACTTCAATTTGTTTTTGTTGACTTATCGGTCGCGACTGCACAAAACAAATGTTTTGTTTCTTATATTCTTTTTATACCCTTGCAGAGGGTAGTATCAACAGCCGAGTCGATATAGCCATGTCCGACTGTCCGTCTGTCTGTTTCTAAGTAAACTAGTCTCTCAGTTTCAAAGCTATCTTTATGAACTTTGCAGAAGTCCCTATTTCTGTTGCACGCAGCACAAATGTCAAAACCAGCTGGATCGGCCAACTATATCATATAGCTGCCGTAGGAACGATCAGTCGAAAATTAAGTTGTATAAAAACATTTTTGTTTATCAAGATATCTTGACCAAACTCTAAATTTACTATGTATAGTTTTACTATACTCCTCATTTACATGCAAAATCCTATTAAGATCGGACCATTATATCATATAGCTGCCATAAGATCGGTCGAAAATTAAGTTATTGTATGAACAACTTTTTTGTCATTCAAGATATTTAAATTAAGCACGGCATTTAAAGATTTCACTATGCTCCCTTCATTTTTGCAATCTCTTATTTACATCCGACTACTATAGCATATATATGCGCCGAAGGGACGATCGGATGAAAATTAGGTTTTTGATTAAAAAACTTTTTGTTTATCAAGATGTCTTGACCAAACTCGGCATTAACTATTTTTCCTGTGCTTCTTAGATACGGGCAAAGCATTATGAGCATTATGAAAAGGTTGGGTCTAGAAGGGTATTAGATCTTCGGCGTGCCAAAGATAGCCTTTCTATCTCGTTGCTCTTGTTGATGTTCCTATTGTGAAAAACCCAACTGAGAAAAATAATAGAAAAAAAAAAACGCAAAATCAAAGTTCGAGTTGCAAACAGGCAAATTTGTGGTTTGTTATTGTGCCACAGGGTTCGCATTGTTGTTGTACAATTGATTGCTTTGTTATATTGGCAGCAATAAACTATGCGCATCTATGGATCATTTAGAGCAGCATATCCACTACACAGATAGATGGCTAATGAAAAACCAAAAGCGAAGAAAAAACTTCAAATCAAGAATGCATCAGTTTTTAAAGGCGGCTCAAAAAAGGGTAGCAACAAAAATATAGAACTGTAATAAAGCAGCTTTTAGACCAGATTAAAGTTAACAGTCACAAAACAGCAGCAGGCGCAAATTTGGCTCATTAAATTGATTCTTGTTCCTTCTTGGTAAGCTAAGGAAAATTGCTGATGTGACCAAGAATTTCTGCTTATGCTCCGAAAGCAGCTAAAAAGCAAACGACGTCCATTGACCGTTAGCCATAAAACACACGCGGCTTGATGCCAGCCCCAATGACAAAGTTCACGTATCATTAAGGCATTTTCGGGCCGCACTGTGCACTAACAATAACTACAATAAAAAACAGCATCGACAAAAGCGACGGCAGCAACAATACCAAGCAAGGGGTCAAAGGATACACATTTAAATGGGTGTTGCAAAATTGATAATCGAAATTCTGGATATTAAAAATAAAAAGTGTGTAAATATTTAGGGTTATTTTTCTCTATAGATAGCTGTACATTAAAAACTTCAAGCATTATTTCCCACCATTATTAAACACCCAAGCAATTTCAATTGGCTCTCCCTAAAGGACGATAAAACCCAGGTAAAATAAGAGGTACGAGTTCGATTCATTCAAATATGGATCACATTTATTATTTAATTCAAATAAAAAGCCTATGATGATAATTAACTGAATTTCTTGAATAGATTTTAGCAATACCACATATTTTAAATATATAATATGTATTGATAATTTGCTTAATGTAAGAAATATTTTAATATCCCTATTTTCAAAGGATATAAACTTTCTGCATATTTTTTCGTGAAATTTCTTGTGTTTAAAATTGTAAAATTATACAGTTTAAAGCAACTCTCTTTACAGCGATTATTAGTAATTTAGATTAGCAATAATACGAATGTTCTATATAGAATTAATTGCAATTTCTGCTGCATATTAACAATCAACAAGCAAGAGTTCCAATACCTTAATATTAATCAAGTTTGTGCAGAAAGCAGCAAATCCTGGTTGCAATTCTCAAGGCACAGGCGTCAACATAGAGTGTCCTGTGGCCTGTGGTTGTTGCCATTGCTGTTGATGTTCTAGTTGATGTTGCTGTTGCTGTCATCAGTCGGAACATATTACTGAACAGAGAGCGGTTAGCAATGTGTGCAAGATGTGCAAGTTGCTATTGCTGTGGCAAAATGAAGCCGCAGAAACAATTCAAAATCACAATATGACACATATGCGAACATGGGCAACCGAACGACAAACCAAAATCCAAAATCTGAGCATTGCCAACATTGCAACGGTAAACATGCAAAATGCAGTTGAAATGTGTTTGTGTGTGTTAGTATGTGTGGGTGTTTGGGTATGCGTGTTTTTGAGATCTGCTCTAGCTACATGTTAACGTGCATTTTAACGAGTGTTGACAATTACGAGAAATTTGGTTTTTTGGTTAAACAGAATGCGAGGTAACTGGGCGTATGAGTGGTTTGTATGCGTATATATGTGTTTGCGCTGGAATGTGTGTGGGTGTGCTGTCTGTGTCTGTGCTCTTTCCGAATACCCAAAGTTTTGTTTGGAGTACATGCAGGGACAACTTTTTTTGGGCTGTGGCTCGTTCCAAAACGGCAGAGTCCAAACAGAGCAATTGAAGTTGTAATGGAGTCGCTGGATTAACAACTGAAGAGCGTTACCAGAAAGAGTGGGAGATACCGAAACAGAGAGAGAGAGAGAGAAAGAGAGAAAGATGTGGAGTGGTGGAGGGGAAGAGAAAGAGCGAGAGGAAGAGAGAGGGATTGACACACTAGGGCTTGGCTTAGGCAACAATATGGGTAAACTCATACGAAAGCCCAGCCAGCACACGGCCGGGACCTCCGCCAGACGCACTCAAAAACAGGGTGATCCCCAGGGCGCAGGCGCTGCGCAGCATCTGCGCGATGCCGGCGACAAAGCTACAAAGCAGCGCCACAACGGAGGCTGGCGTCGCAGCCACTGCTGCTGTTTCGTTGAGAGGGCCACGAATGGCTACAAAAACAAAACGCACATCAGTACGAATCCTGTGAATATCTATGCAGGACAGCACGGAGCGAACTACGTCAAACTGTCAAGCCACAAGTGAAAATTAAAAAAAACCTTTCAATTTTATTAATTAATGGCTGTGCATAAAACAATTGATAATTATTGAGCTTATTTTATTAATTTTTAAAAATGTTTGAATTATAAAAATTGCTGCGTTGTCCCAAAAAAAAACTATACTTAATCAATCGGCCTGCAAACAAAATCAGCTGCATGCCTGCAACTCAGCTCTAAGAACAACAACGGCCCTGCTCCAACTCAACTGCTCAGCTGCTGCCGCTGCCGCTGCCAACGCTGACATCGCTGTCTCTGCCACATCCTGCGCGAGAGTGCGCCTCGACTGAGTTGGCGCTGGCGGTGCGCAGCTGTCCGTCGAGTGTAGACTTATTGCATGCCAGTTTTAGTTCCACGCAAGTACTAAAAATACAATTCTCTTCCAACTACGTCACGCACGCCAGGCAGCCGAAAGGTAAACAAAAACCTGTGCGCGTGTTTTAGTATCAATAAAACACCGGCCAAAGCGCCTTCAAGGCAACTAAGGCAGCTGTGACGTCATGTGGCGCTGGGCTCGGCCACGTCTAGCGCTGCTGCTGGACATTTGGCGGCACTGCAAGCTACTCTGCCTGCTGCTGGCCTTTCTGTTGCTTTTCTGTGAAACGGTGCAGGCCAATCCGGACGCGAAGCGTCTCTACGATGATCTGCTGAGCAACTACAATCGCCTCATACGACCCGTCAGCAATAACACGGACACGGTGCTGGTCAAGCTGGGTCTGCGCCTCTCGCAGCTCATCGATTTGGTAAGTCAATGATGTGTGGCAGGCCCCACAGCACTCTCATAATAATTAATGCAATTGCCAAACTTGGACGGGCCACACATTAGTACACAGCCAAAGCGAGCTGAGTGCCCGGCTCTGGCTCTGGCATGGCTATTTTTTAATTAAGCGCTTCAATGGAGCACTCGGGCAACGTTGCGCTACATTTGCCAGCGCCATTTTATCGAGTTGGGCTCAAAATGTAAACAGCCAAACAGTTGCAATAACTTTTGATCGTAAACAAAATAAAACAAGTAAGAAGTGCTCGACTAGGGGATACCCTGAAACTTCTTCTTCCAACACCAAATGCAGCTCTCAAACGCGCTCTTTTGCCTTTAGTAGGTAGTTAAAGGGACATACATTTACATTTTCAGAAAAATAAAGCCTGGCCTCCTCCTGCCGTTGCCGAGCTCGCAACTACCCATAAACGACAAACTGCAGACATACCAAGGATTCAGAATTAAAAAAAAAAAAAAAACGAGAAAGAAAGGCTATCTTTGGCACTCCGAAGATCTAATACCCTTTCATTTCATAATTTCATAATGCTTATAGTGCTTTGCCCGTATCCAAGAAGCACAGGGAAAATAGTTATTGCCGAGTTTGGGTAAGATATCTTGATAAACAAAATGTTTTTTCATACAATTTAATTTTCGACCGATCGTTCCTATGGCAGCTATATGATATAGTGGTCCGATCTTAATAGGATCTTGCATATATATTAGGAGTAAAGTAAAACTAATAAGTGCCGAGTTTGGTCAAGATATCTTGATAAACAAAATGTTTTTTCATACAACAACTTAATTTTCGACTGATCGTTCCTATGGCAG